AAAAAAGAGAAATTCTTTCCAAGCAAACAAATGCCAACATTCCTGCCTGCTGCTTCAAAATGTTAGCAAACTTTCTTACAGCATACTGGACTGTTTTTATTCTCCAATTTGAAGGGATATTATTCCCAATTTTCTAAGCGACCGAAAAACAACAAAACAATCATCATGCCAGATATAGAGTTTGGCTGCAGCCTAATTCTTCAATGAATCAACAACCGCACAGAACCACACTTCTGAACTGATGTTGACCATGCACGTTCAGTTTGATCTCATGTGATGGATACAGCTTACAGCACATGCAACACTCTCTTCGCTCACTGCATTATAGTGTAAGACATTTTTATGTAGTCCATTTGCTTTTGCCTCCTCCAAAGAATTCCTGCTGTGCAGTGTCCCAACCAGGTATACAATCTGAAAACAGCCCAGCAATGTAGCAGATCAGATCTTACTATAATAGATAAATGTTATATGCTAAGAAATGCACCTCATCCTGATTACCTTACTACTCTACTACTACTGAAGTTGTGTTCATAACAAAAGATGCAAAATTGAGACAGGCTGCGAAGTAATGAAACTGTTCTCAAAAATCGAAGAACATCCCCAAGGCGACTGGAAACCAGAAACATGCGCAGTGTAGACTTGTAAATAAAAGTGTTCCTGGATAACCTTAGACGAACTCGTCCAACAGTTGAGATGTTGTCCTCCAACTCCTGCAAGTTTTTCAAGAAGAAAATTATTCACCATAAGCCTATTGCAATGCTTGGAAAAATGATGGACAAAGCCCATCCCTCCCTTCATAATGTAGACTCATAAATTGGCAATTTTAAGTAAGTGATTCAAGCTCGCGCTCATAACGCTCGAGGCCGAAGCAGGTTACGGCAGCTTTTAGGCGTGCAGCGCTGCTGGCCAGGCAAGTGAGATCAGCGAGGCATTTACTAGAAAGCAAGAACGTGTGTCGTGTGTGTGTGCTGTGTGTCAAGCTCAGAACATACAGCTGTTGTATGTGCCCAAAGAGCAGTTGAGATTGATGAGAAAACTGCTGATAGCATGACGTAACAACCCACTACACACACACACACACACACACACACACACACACACACACAAACACACACAACACCACACACACACACACACACACACACACACACACACACACACACACCACCACACACACTGAAGAAAACTTAAAAATGTGATGTGAGGGTCAAAGTTGTATTTTTTATTTCTAAGCCAATTTATGTTTTTTTTATTTGTGATGCACTGTGGACTGAATCTTAAAACACGAGTATCATGTCTGTGTAATCAGATCTGACAGCGTAACCATTTTGAGAAGAAGTAGCTTAAGTACCTTAATGACCTTTTTCACAGCAGCCACTT